GCAATATGGTTTATTGTTTTCAACGGGCAAAATATTAGGTATTTCTGTGTGTGTTGTAAGGCCTTAATAAATACATAAGGTCTTGAATGTCGACACATCTAATCCTATCTGGTATAGGTACACCTACCTACCAGCAGTCGTGCGTAAGCTTAAACATGCAGATGTGATATGAGACTAAGTATGCAAGGAATCTTCAAAGAAAGCCTGTTGATGCGTTACCAAATCTTGGTGCACTGGACCAGCTGAGATTCCATGAAAGCAACGCTTACCCACGTCACGTACTCAGCAGGTGGTGTACCTACTTTTAGCACAACTTTGGCAGCTACTTGCTGAAGCGAACAAAACACCCGGCGCGCAAACTTTGGGCAAAGTTGGCTAACTGTCACACTCAAGCCGGAAAGTCTCTACATATATACGGCCTCGGTCGGGGAAGTTGTGCAACCATGAAAGGGATCTAACAGCATATAGGCTGCCTACCAATGCCGACCGTCTGCCAACTGACGGGAGGGGACGTATTTTAGCCGTCGGAACGGAACACATAGACACTTCGGGGCGCTGTACTTACCCAATTCTCTCGTCCCGTATCTCGGTTGGAAGTGCTGCGTCGGAGTCTTGACTCTTCTATCCGACTGATTACGGAGTCTAAATCCAATCCAAATATATCACTGCGCACGGCAACTCAAACCAACCCTCTAGGGCTCTTTTGCAAATTTTAGCAGCTGTTCGTAGCTCTTGCGTTAGCAGCAACCCTCAGTTCACTGCTCTTACTTTATTATGCCACCGTTGGCAGCGCCTTGTATCTTCTATCTCCTGTGTTCCGACTTGGTGGTGCTCGCCAGCCGCCTGCCTGTCTCTAGAAGCCGTGCTGAGAGCCGTCTTGGTGCAGTGGCTTGTTCCGTCGGTGCGTCGCGTCCGACGCCCGTCGATCGACTGGCCCCGGGCGCTGCCACAGGTCCCTACGTGACGTCACTCGTCGCCGCGACCGTCTGCCGTATCGGCGTCGACGCGGGGGGGGGGGGGAGGGGAGTCCCGTCGGCCCCGGACAGGTGGTGCACCGCCTTCCCAGTATTGCCGGCCGGCCGGGGAAGAGTTCCTCCATGGAACTCTTCCACCCAATCACCCAATCTTCAGACTAAAGACGAAAGATTACATTTTAGAAGTCAATTCGTAAGACAAGAAAACTTAATCACGCTCATATATCCTTCGCCCGCGAGCTTTTATGTGTCTGTGTCGGGAGGGGGGGGGGGGGTGCATTTTTGGCCTCACCGGACATTTTTTATTTGCGTATGTAAAGAAAACCACGGCGCGTGGCGCCGCGAAATTCATCCTATCATGTATGCAATTTCGCATCGTGTATTAACCCTCGCCCGTATTGGTGTTTTGCCAGCCGCGAACGTAAAAGGGTCGGAGGATCTGTTGGAACCTCACCCCTTACCGTTTCGCCTCTGAGCGAGCTTTAAAGCTTTACGTAAAAAAGAGCGTGTTGCCCGTGACGAGAGGAAACCGATGATCCCCAATTTGAAGGTCCTAGGTCATTGGTTGACCTTCCAGGTCAGGTCAATGATCCAAAAGTCGGAAAATCGGGACGTGTTAGAACGTCGTATAAAGTGTGACTGCTGTAAGATTTTTCGGGGTGCTGATCACAAACATCATATTAGTTTTGATCACAGATGATGTCTTCATGCATTTAGGCCAGGTCGGGTCAGATCAGGTCAGGTCAACCAGTAGGAGCCCTGCCGGGTATTCGTAATAGGTGTCAACCGCCTCTGACAGCTTGGTAACATGTTACAAAGGCACCAATGAATAAATGTTCAACTGGTTGCTAAATTCGAATTCGATCCCAAAAACTGGCCTAGAAACATGTCAAACTCGAAAAAGTGAACCGAGGTCATCAAAAGTTAGTGACCTAACCTGACCCTCGGGTGACCTGTCCTTGACACCCATCTAATGCATGGGACCAACTTCGTATCTCATATTTGAACGCTTGAAACGAAACCACGAAAAGACTGCAAACGCGCTGCTAATGCGAGCCGACATACGCCGAATTGCGATTCCGGCCAAACATGGTCTCAGGAAAATAGGTCACAGGTCAAAGGTCATATCGGTTATGGTCATGAAATTTTTCGGGCATAGGTGCCAGCAGCGAGGTCACAATCAATTTTACACAAAATTGATTAGCTCGAGGACACTGAACGTTTCGTCGTGATTGGCCGCTTTTTACGCGAATTATTCGCGAAAAACCGATGAGGGGTCAGTTCGACCCCCCCCCCCCCCTCTGTGTATAGGCGGGCGAGGATTAAGTTTTTGACCCCACGTCACATAAGGTCAGGTCACCAGATCAAAAAGATTAGGTCAAGTGACTATGATTCTAAAAGAGATTGTGACTCTGTTATTTCTACCGCATCCTATTATAGACGTTTGAAACTCCGGCTATATCAAGAGAAAACCAGCACCTACCTACCAACCATTTGCTTGCATCGGAATTTTAATGTCGATGACCTAAGGTCAGGTCAATTTTTGCGACCAGTCTCCATTAGCCCTCGCCCGCACATGCCATTTTCCCATCCTAGAACGCACATGGGGGGGGGGGGGTTGCCACCCCCCGCGCCATTTCGTTCCTGTTGGAGATAGAGCTTATCGGTAAAGACCAAAAAGATTCTTTGGGAAGAGACGAATCCAATGATACCCAGTTTTACCTTCTCAGGTCAGTCATTGACCTTCCAGGTCAGGTCAAACTAAAAAATGTTGCTGTTTTGGGTCACCGTTGGATATCAAGTGCGCTGCTTATCATATACCAATGACGATGCTGTTTTCTGGTGCCAAGCCAGCTAGAACCTCGTTGTCACACTACCCGACCAGATTTTTGCTGCTGAGGTCATTTCAGGTCAAGTTAGGTCAAGGTCAATTAATTATATGTGTTTGTACCTATGTCTGTGTGTGTCTGTGTGTATACTGATGTGTGCACCGATTGTTTTTGTGTTCATATTACATGAAATCATGATCTGAGAAGCTTTTACCAAAAATGCAGTCAAAAAACTTCACAAAAAGTAAATTTCGCTGGCCCAAAACGCAATTATCTTAGATGACCTAGGTTGACCTTGACCTTGACCTTGACATCTGTACATCGTCGAACAACATGTTCCATGATAGGTTGGAGGTAAGACTGGCAAAAAAGGCCGAAATCAATGTGTCAAAAGCTCACAAGGCCCATAGCCAACGCCAGATGTTGAGAATTGGCCATTTGGGTCATGACATGACCTGAAAAACAAGGTCATATCTCCGAAACCAAAAGCCACAGAAGCTTGAAATTTTCAGTGGACATCAAGAAAGGATAGAGGAGCAGCTATACCAAAAATCAGCCTCCTAGCTCTAAAAATGTTGAGTGCAGAGCAGAAAGACTACCTGGGGGGGGGGGGGGTGGCAACCCCCCCCCCCCCCATAAGCGGGCGAGGGTTAGGCCTATAGATCAACGGAAAAAATTGATGTGCTCCTTTTTCTGACGAAAACACTCCAAACAATGGGAATGGGATACAGGTAATGATGACGCACTGAATCGGAAAACTGCACTCGTGAGTCGTGACCCCCGTTATGCCTCTGAGTTCATCTCAAGTAATGAGACGTCTCTCAATAGTTTCTTTGACAATAACTAGATAGAATGAAAACACCATCAGCTCAACGATCGCCTAACATGCAACATGACCTTCTCTGTGACCTTGACCCGAGGTCAAATTTTGAGGTTGACCTTATATAGTTAATTCGACGGGTTTCGACAAGAGAAACGCAATACCGGTAAAATGTGAACGTAATGCAAGCTTGGTGTGAGAAGTTCTTACGATCTTCCCGCCCCCCCCCCCCCCGCCCCAAAGAAAAATATGCAACCGAAAAACTTATATCGTGGTATTTGAGCTCTTCCAAAGCCGTTCGGCGTTCGTTAGTACGTTGCTAAGGAGTCGAAAATTGAACTTGCGAGCTGAGGAGGGCGTAAGAACGCCTCCCCCTCTCTCCCTCCCTCCCCCGTCTCATGTGATACGATCGAGCCACCATCAATTCGCATTTCGCCGGCTGCGAAACAAAAGGGGATTAACAAACCAATACATGTATTAAAATGAGCGACCGTAAACCAGCCGACGACACATTCGGAATAAAAAGGTCACTTGAATCCCGAACATTGCAGCTGCCAGCTGGAAATCCAGCTGACGGCTGAAGCTGGTCTATCTCTAATCTCTATACACATGACGCTTCTCCACGACATTTACTTATATGTACTGTCTGTCTTTTAAAAGTACCGCGCAAAGTAACGGTGGATCCATGAAACCTGACCGAGGAAGGACTGCTAAATTTGAGTCACCGAAGCAATGGACATCCTCGTCCATTCCCCTGGTCAATTGGTTCGGTGACTTCCAAATTATAGCAGGCCCTTCTTCGGTCAGGCTTGATGGATCCACCATTACTTTGCGCGGTACTTTTAAGACGGACTTAAATGTACACTTCATGCATATTACCTGCACAGCCGGTAGCAAAATGATCATGCATGTTACGTCAGACACAGGCGCAAAGAAAAACTTCTGTCATCTCCGGACCAGAGACACATCTGAACAGTCTTAAAGGGACTATCCCACCTTCTAAAATGTTGTTAAAACCAGTTAAATTGTGCCCGACTTTATAGATTGGATGACCAGGAACACGGTTCTGGCATTTATTTTTCATTAAACATCTTAGACTTCCCATATTCCAAACGCAAACATTCAAATATGTGACGTCACAGCCCAAAATTGCCTCCTTCCCCAGGCCACATTACTGTCATAAAGCTGATTCTTTTTACTCTGTAGGCACCACAACAAAGTTGAGACCAAGTTTTAAGCGATTTTTCAACGAACAAACCCATTTAAATCAGAATGACTAAACGAGGTGACGTCACACTAACGGTCGCTCCATGTTGAAGATAGGGCCTTGTGCAAGGCCCATTTTCAAATGAAGGGAACGAATTTCTTCAACACCAAGAGGCCGCGGGGGTTGCAACCTAGATAGATAGTGGTTTCTGAACCTCGCCGCAAACTTGGCTATCTCAGCTCAAACCCCATGTTAAAGGTGGGATAGTCCCTTTAACGTTTCAATCCCATCAGCAGCAAGTGAGGCGGACGCTGGAGAGCATCATCCGAAACCAGCACCAGATGACCGGTGCCGCCACCTACCGACACGAAGCGCCGTCACCGCACGAGCAGCATGTCCGCGCCGGGCGGTGCTGCCATCTGCAGGCGCCGCACCGCCTCTCGGGCGTGCTCCGGGGTCAGACTCTCGGTGGGCAGGCCGGCCGGCTCGCCGCACGTCTCCGCTCGCACCAGCATACACGCGTCCACCAGCATGGCTACCAGTTCCCTCAGCAGAAACTGGAGCGCCAGCAGCGAGAGCCCGCGCGCCGGCGGCACACCGGCCGGCCAGTGGTCGTCCAGCCAGGCGCGCAGAGCCCTGCCGCGCGGCGCCGCCCTGATACGCACGGCCGTGAACGCGCGGTACTGCTCGCCACTCATCAGCCGGGTCAGCCGGTCGAGCCGGGCGCGCCGCGCGGCCGCCTCAGCGTCCTCGGCCGGCGGCGGCGGCGTGCCAATGTTCTCACAGAACTGGCGGCAGCGGTTGAGCACCGTGTACGGCGCCGCGTCCTCCATCTCAGGGGTCGAGGCGCTGGCGGCAGCCGCGGCGTCCACCGCACACCGGCGGACCTCCAGAAACTCCATCAGCCGGGCCACGATGACAGCGTCTCTGCGCGCGGCCCACAGGAGGTTGGCAATGCCGAGCGAGGCGCCCTTGCGCACGGTAGGCCCGCCGGCGGCGCGGCGCGCCAGGGCGGCCACCTCACGGCCCAGCACCGGCTCGAGGACGGCGAGGGTGGCCGGCTGAGGTGACGGCCAGTCGCCGGCGCAGATCATCAGGTCAGAGATACCGGAGCACGCCAGCTGCCGGGCGTCGCCACTTGTGCTGGCGGCCGCCGCAGAGACCAGTGACAGGGACGGCTGAAAGGAGGCGCGACGGTCAGGGTGCAAGCAATCTGTGTAGTATCAGTGAACGCGCACAGGAAGCGTTGGAACAGCTTATACTAGGTCAGTTATGACGACCAGGAGCAGCATTTTGCACCTCATAAGGACAGCAATTCGCACCTCATGGGGGTGGGGGGAGGGGGGTGGGGCATCAATATTTGTATGCCGAAAATCGGTGTTGCACGCACAATCATTCATAACCGATGCCATTTTTTGTTGATTCTTTATCACTTTTTAAGAGCTTTTTTTGTATTTATGCCCCTCCCCGAAAACCCCATTAATATTGACATCAAATTTGCACAGGGGTGAGGCATTCCACAGGTCCATAAAGGCCATGTGACAATGTGCCTACATAAATGCCTTCAAACATCAGAAAATAGTAAATGATCAAAGCTGCTGTAAGCTATGTCATAACTCACGGTGACTATAAAGTCATAACTCATATCCTGACTTCAGTGAGTATTTCATGAAGTCATTAAAGTAGATGCTTTTTTTGTCTGAAGTGCTGACAAAAAAAAAGTTCCAACATGTTTGATGTTACCAACCATTTTGCAAGCTTTACATGTAGGCATACCTTCACATATACATACCTATGGGCATTTAGGTTTCACCCTCATGCGTAAGGTCATCAGGCATGACTGGTTAAAACATTGCTTCCTGGATAAATACCATAGTGATAAGGTTCACATATGGGACTGAAATGATAACAAAGGTACCAATAAAGCATGCACTTTCTTTCATCCAATTATCATATGCCAATAACCACTCACAGAACCCCTAACTGACATACCTGTAGAATCTCAGCCTGCTCATTTTGACCAAGCAGCTGTCCCCACCAGCTATTCTCAGCTACCGAGGACAAGCAGAGAGTGTCCTCATGATGTGCCTCCTGGTTGTCAGCATCATCGCAATGGTGGAGGTGCTGGTGATGGCTATCTGTGCTTGATTTAGTAGGACCCTCTAGCTCCTGATCCACCAGCTTTGAACACATATTCTTTGCACGGCTATGCATGTTCCAAGCTGAAAAGGAGTCACATTGAACATTGCTGAATGCTGGTAGATAAATTAAATTCATTCATAAAATTGACTTATTTCATTTGCTTTTATTTTAAATCTAGCCTAAGCCGGGCTTAAGCTAGATTTAAAATAAAAGCAAATGAAATTAGTCAATTTTATGAGTGAATTGAAAGCCCCCCAGGGAATTATAAAAATAAAGACACAAATCAAAAAGGGAAGTACCTAGGCACATGCCATTTCAATCTTAGGATGAAAGTGACAACACCTGAATTATGAATATCCACAAATATTATTTCAATGAGGGTGTAACACATTGTCAATAAAATAAATATCATGCGGAGTCTGAGTAAAAAGTTGTTGCATTGCAACTCGCAGGAAAACATTTTCAGCAAAAATGACGATTTCAGTTTTGATTTGGTCTATGGGCTAGGTATGCAGTAAAAGTTCTGAACTTTGCTTAACGCGATTTAACGCAACAAGTTTTTTATGGTCGTAATCTATTTTTCCATATTAAATAACAGCGAACCTACCACGAAAATGCTGATATTGATGATTATTTTCGATGTTATCAAGCCCGTTGTTGTGGATTTCAAATCAAAATGCCCAAAATATAGGGCCTTGCCCAATAACAAGCAAAATTACTACGATTACTACTTTCGAAGCCTGCGTCGGGTATGTAGAAAATGCGCAAGAACTACAACGATCCAAGGCTCTTTATTTCCATGACAAGTGACAACGATTATAACAGAAAAACGCAGCAAAAATTGGGGTGTCTAAAAAGCAGACAAGATAATCAGACGAGCCCATGCTCCGAAACTACGAGATCGATTTTGATGATTTGTTGACCATTCGATGGCAGGGTATTAGAAAAGGTGTTTTTTTGTGTTTTGGTGATTAATTCACTCTGAACCAGGGGTGGAGATCTGTCAAAATTTCAGGGGGGGGGTCCAGGCCGGGTAGATGGAGTCGGGCTGGACGCAGTACCATTGACTTACATGGCAGTAATTCGTTTTCAGGGGGGTCCTGACCCCCCCCCCCCCCGACCCCCCGGGATCTCCACCTCTGCTCTGAACGGACCAATTGTGTAGTCGGTCCATTTATTCGCGCCGTTTAATTTCGTACCGGCTTCTCTTCATTGTCTCTTGTCCGATTTTATATCTGATTAACTCACGTCACTTAAGTATTTATTTGATATTGTCATAATTATCTACTACGGGGCTGTTACTTTAGTTTCTGTTTAGCTGCGGCCCTAGTACCTTAGTTTCCGATGTCTCTTCGGTTTGTTGTCGCTCTCGTGTCGGGGAGTCCTGGCGGCCGGCACGAGCGGTGGTGGTGCAATATAAGCTCTCTTGTGCAGCTTGCGTGTCGGAGCCGGGGTGGCGAGGCGAGACCCGTCTACACCAAACCAAACCAAAACTGGACCAAAAAGCTGGACCTGGAAACTGGTGGAAAACTGGACCAAATTGGTCCAGAATCATGGGTCCACTAAAAGCAGACGAGTCCATGCTCCGAAACTCTGAACTTTTTCGATGAAACCTTCACCATTTGACGCGCCGCGCTCTAAAACGGTACAGTAGTCAGTAAGCCCCCAAAAAACGTTGAGGCTTGGTGTCCATTAGGGGTCCATTCCATTCCATTCCATTAGTCCATTCTGCGGCACGGAGGTTAGAACAGTCCCTGCTAGGAGTGGATCGTCTCTGAAGACCGCGACGTCCTCGTGTCACGTACGAACCTACAGCTGTCCCCCGCGCCCCTGAGTCTCCGGAGAGACAGATCCCAGGCAGCTTACACACTCCGCCGCACCGCACTCCCGCCGGTGACCGGTCAGGGGCTCTGGGTCACTGGCCGGCCGGCTGTGACCCTTATAATGGCCGCCAGCCCTGCACACGGGCTGCAGTCAGTGAAACCGTGATGTACCTAAGTATTATCGCGATGTTTGTATTATGGGCGACCGACGTGAAAATCTAATCACTGGCTGATTTACACTTGACAGGGGATGTTTAATTAACCCTTGCCGGACCTATTGGTTTTCTACATACGCGCCGGCCGAGGGGGGGGCGGGTACGACCCCCCCCCCCTCGCCGTTTCGCCCCTGGTGGAGCTAGCGCGTCGCGGAAAAAAACGAGCGTGTGCGCCGATACGAGCCCAGTAAACATGACGACGTCGGCCCGACGTCGGGCCGAGGCTCGGCCCGACGTCGGCCCAACGTCGGTTCAACCTCGTCCCGACATCGGCTGGACGTCGGATATGCCCGCATGTTCCGACGTCCAGCCGAAGTCCAGCCGACGTCGAGCCGACGTTGGGCCGAGATCGTTTGCCGAGGTTGACGAGATCGTTTGTCGTTGGACTGACGGGGCCGACGTCGGCATGTTTATTGGGACAACGCGCCAAAAATATCAACCGGCGGCGGGATTCGAGCCCCCCAGTCGCCGACGTCGGCATGTTTACTGGGACAACACGCCAAAAGCATCATCCGGCGATGGGATTCGAACCCCGTGCCATTCGAACGCGAGGTTGCGCTAACCACTACACCACGCAGCCAGCTAACAAATTGGGTTTGTTTTGTTGGGTTATGCCCTTTCGGTCTGACAAGACCATTTCAGAGCCGGAAGGATGATAGGTTGGAGACATTGGTCTTCTTGGCGAGCACCCTGGGTCCAGTTCATATAGAGTCCCTGGTCCCATTGCTGTTACGTGACACTTATTGGAAAGGGCGACCCCACAATGGGTTCATATAGCCACTCTTATACACCTGCACCAACGTTTCCCTAAGTGTCCCTTTGATAAGTGGCACTTTGGCAAAGTGACACTTGCCGACTGGCCTTTCTATATGAACTGGGCCCGGCCCTGGTGAGTTGCCGGGGCTGAGCCTGACCAAGGGATAGGCCGAGCAGCCCCCAAGCACTCACCGCACCCGGCTACGGGCGAGCTCGGCTTACGGGCAATCCCAAATGGGATAGTTTCCCGTCCAGTCCGGATCAGGGATTTGCGGCGTGGAGGAAGATTTGAGTTTCCTGAGGATATTTTGAATACAGAAGCTCTTTATGAAACATGAAACATGTATTTTATATTATTTTAACGGTCAAAACAGCGGCCGATGTCGGTCCGACGTCGCCCCGACGTCGGCTGGACCTCAGCAATTGATCTCGGTCCGACGTCGGCCCGACGTCGGCTGGACCTCGGCTGGACGTCGGAACATGCGGGTATATACGACATCCAGCCGACGTCGTGCCGAGGTTGGACCGACGTCGGGCCGACGTCGGCATGCTGATGCCGAGTTGCCGACGTCACCCCGAAGTCGGCCGACGTCGGGCCGACGTCGGCATGTTTACTGGGAGATGCAGAGATTGGTACCCGATTTTAAGGTCATGGGTCAAGACCTCTGAGGTCAGGCCAAGTGCCCCTAAGTACGGTTCCGTTTTTGGTGAATAACTTCGCAAAAAACGGCCGCAGAGCCGCTATTTTGGCAGCATGGTGTGCGCCTCGCTCAGGCGCGTCGAATGATATACTTTTTGTTCGGGTCAGGTTAACTGGGCCAAACTTTCTCTTCCGCTTCTGACTTGCGGAATCACTAAGAGCATGGCTCCCGCATAGTGAAATAATTAACTTATTACATGTTATTTATTACACTATGGCTCCCGTACACATTCATGAGCTTGGCGTGGATGTTAGCTGCCGGCTCGCCCTGGATAGCTAGGAATCGTATCACTGAACGTTGATCCTCTCGGCTGACCGATGCCATTTCTAAAGCAGTCTAAAAAATGGTGTTATTTGATCTGTTCCATATCATCACAGAAATGGAATAAGAAGCTGAAAATGCGGTCACTTCGACACAAAGGTCTGAATTTTAATCCCTGAAAAAAATCACTTGCGCAGACCGCGTGAGTTTTATGTAATTGCTCTCCGGAACTTACTTATTGAACGTGGTGCATTACGAAAGCGAATTTGTTCGGGGTCCGGACCCCGCGACCTCCAATGGCAGTCTCTTCACTCTAGTGTGCCGGAAATATTTCAGACTCCAGAACAGCCTATTTGATACACAAACAGTACCTACTCAATAGAAAAACTGTGACGTAAGAAAATACACGATATAAAACACAAACATGAAGTGGCATTAGAAAGCACTTGGAAGGGAAATAAAATACACCATAGTCGCAAAAGGAGGCAAATATACATTATACAGGGTTCAGCGATATTGCTCGTTCAATGCCTCAATAGATTTTCAAACAACTATATCTCAAGTTCAAGACATCACACAATGCAGAGTGGCAGCGGGGATTTCATGCACTTACTGACGATCAAAATATGACCATTTATCCAGCATTTGATCACCAAGGGCCTTTTGTCAGACCATCACCACGAAATTAGCGCAACGGACTGCAGGAGCTCCAGGATTGATTTTTATTATTATTATTATTATTTCATATTCCCACTAACCACCATTCGGTGGGCATTACAGAGGGAAACACATTGACACACATAAACAATATACATACAATACAGGCAGCGCAGTGCCCTGTCATTCATAAGCACGTATAACGAAATCAAAATGCAGAACAAAAGCGATTTTCTATAACAAAAAGTTTGATGAGACAGCGAAGCCTCATGAGTAACCGGCAATTATTACAACGAACAATGTGACATCACCGGAACAACACCACATACATATGCATCATTATTATGATGCATCATATTATGATTATATTATTATTATGATTGATTAATATCCAGAATCATAACTTGATTAATCGGTTGATTAATATCCAGAATCATAACACATCATGAGGGCGGGTCTTTACACAGTAGGGTGTGTCATTTTGGGCACTTTTTTCGCAAAACATGGTGCTCCACTGATTTTATCGTGCCCCAGACACGTAGAAACCGTGTGACATTTTTTATTTCCCCCAAATATTAACACCCATGCGGCGCCGACCGCCGACACTTTGGCCTATCTCTCAGCATTAGCGACCTCAGCGCCCCTAGCGGCAATGTTTTGAACTAACACGCCCGCTATGCTTTGTGAGCTTACGATCATCATAAAATGCATTTTACCGAAATGACGCCTTGCTGTTGGCTTGTCTGGCACTCAGAATGTTGGTGAAAATGTGATGTTATGCATCTTAAAGCAGGAAATAGTTCTGTGTTAATGTACATAATCATATATTGCATAGTACCTACTACCCCCGATCCCCGTCCTGGTCTGACGGGATACGTACGAGCGCATGTTTATAGTGCCTGCTATTAGGTGTCACATGTTTTTTTTTGTAGCGTCGTTCACTGCATAAACCCCGGGGAACAGGGGGGGGCAGTGGGGGCGCTTGCCCCCCCCCCTCCAACTTGAGAGCCGAGTGGGCGCCGCCCCCTCAACATTGATGCAACGATGAAGGATCTCTGCTCACTTTTATGGACCTACATGTCTGTTTTTATATAAACATCAGCACAAGGTATTTCTCTTGCATGTGAAGTGAATGGTTTCTGCTGACTCGGCATCGATTTAAGAACACCTGCTATTATCATCCCACTTTGATTTTATCTGAACTTGATCATAACTTTGGTAGGTCAGATTTTATACTGGACCATTTTGGTTCCGGATGGTATTTGATTTGGCGTGATGAGAACATTATGACGTACAACGGTGGTAAAGTCGTTGATTGATACAGGTTTACTCGCTCCGGTGGGAGGCAGTAGCGGCGGAACACCTTCAATTAAGTGGAGGGGGGGGGGGGGGGCACTGCCGACTTTTGGTCCCATTCTTTCCATGCAACGCCCATAGGGCTAATGTTAAAATGCCCAAATCAGAGGGGGCACGGTGCCCCGGTGCCCTCCCCGTTCCGCCGCCTATGGTGGGAGGGCGGCGTGTGGGACTCAGAAGGAGACTAATGGCTTTTGTTGTGCCTTTGGTAGGACCCTCAGTATCACCGATGCAGGGCCTTCAGAGCCTCCAATTAGGGGCCTTTAGAGGCACTGGTGTGGGGTCCTCACATACGCCCGTGTGGCCCCTCAGAGGTGCTAGTGTGAATCCCTCATAAGCACCGGTGAGGGTCCTCACAGAATACAGACGCCGTTGTGGACCCTCAGAGACACTGGTGTGGGTCCGTTACATGTGGGTGTGTGGCCCTTAGAGCTGCTGGTGCGAACCCTTTAAAAGTCGGCAGGGGGCCCTCAACGACCGGGGAGGGGGACCTCAGACCGGCAAGGGGCCCATAGAGGCCGGCGGCATCTTCAGAAGCCCCGTGGGGTCCTTAGATACCGACAAGGTACTCTGAGACGCTAGTGCGGCCCTCAGTCTCTGATGTAGGCCCTCAGAGTTGCAGGTAGGTGGCCGGCAGATATGCTTTTGCCGAACCCTCACAGGCGCAGGTGTGGGTACCTCAGAGCCACCAATATAGGGTTGCATAAATGGTGTGGCACTGGCTTGGGGGACCCTCAGTGGTGTCCTTATGGGCCCTTAGAACCACTGGTGTGGGTCTCTCAGAGGTGCTGGTTGTGAACCCTCAGAGGCCCTGCTGAGGGCCCTCACGGTCTCCGTTATGGGATCCTCAGAAGCCGGCGTAGACCCTGACGGAGATCTTAGTGTGGCTACTTAGGGGCTCATGAGGTGCTCTTACGAGACCTGTGAGGTCTTTCTCAGCTGAAATATAGTCAGCGTGGACCCTCAGAGGTCAGTTGGTACCGCAGGGGTCTTTATGGCCGGGTGGGCTCTCAGAAGCACCAGTGAGGGCCCTCAGTCTCACAGTCGTCGTAATGGGGCCGTCTGAGACATTGGTGTGAGGCCATTACTGATTACAGGTTGGCGTAAGGCCCTAGATATGGCCCCTCTTGGGCCGGCAAGGACTCTCAGAGGCACGCTAGCGGCCATAAGAGGCCGGTAAAGGGCCCTCAGAGGCCGCCAGTAGCCTTCAGAAGCCGGCGTGTAACCCTCATGGACAATTTAGTGAGGCTTCTTTGGACTCACGAGGTGCTGTTACGAGCCCTATTCTTTCTGAATCGAAATATGGCCAGCATAGACCCTGAGCGGTAAACTGGTGCCACAGAGCCCCTCCGACCCGAGGGGTCCTCTGAATGCGATAGGGGGGGGGGACTAGATGGCACGTGCCTCCTGGGACCCCCTGACTACGCTACTATTTCATATGCGTCATGTCAGGTATTTTGGGCTTGCACCCCAACTTGAAGAATGTTCCTGGGCCCCTGTGACAATATATTGTATTCATTATAGGTATTCGTCATTAGCTTGCACTCTCTGCAATCTGCCCATACTATTATTTGTCCCTAGACGCGCTTACAGAAAGCAGGGATAAGCCCATACAGTCAACGGCCTGTTAGTTTAGCAAACAGCCGCCAGGGGCGCTAGGGTCGCCTATGTTGTGAGATAGGGCAAACTTCTCTCGCTCGGCGCCGCCTGGGGGTTAAAATTTGCGGGAAATTAACAATGCCACGCCCTTTCCACATGAGTGGAGCACAATAAAATCGATGGAGCACCTTGCATTGCGATTAGTGACACACCCTATTACACAGCCAATGTCATGGCGCAAGTCTGTCAAACAGAACTTGAGCAACGTCCGGCATTCCCCTCCACTAGAGGAGAGTTAAATGGGACGGAAAATATATCAGCCAGTTGCAACTCAGCCATCCGACGAAGGGCGCCCAATGCACCGTATGTAAGTAGGAACTGGGAGGTCGCCTCAGACGAGGGGCACTCAGCCACAGGTCATTTCAGACGGGCACGTTTCTCGGAACGGGCTGCCGGGTGTCGTCGGGCTCGGTCCGTTGTGACCCCCACCAGGTGGCCACGCGGTCGAAGCCCTGGCCGACGGTGCTGGAGACCTTATCGGCCACATCTGAGGCCGTCACGGAAACCTGCGGGAACACAGGGGACATAGGGGAGGTTTCGTTCATAACTTACAGGTCAGCCACCAGGACAGCCACACCTGTGGATCGTGGAAATATTGTGTGATGCGTTGTGGGGATGGGGCATCAATCAAAATTACAATGATACGGAGTCACAGGGAGGTAAAAATGGAGGCAAATGGTGCTCGATGCGATATGGGGTCGAACACAATAACTTCAGTGAGACAGAAGATCATGAACAGCTGCTAACTCAGTCTCCTGTAAACACGTGATTCATACAGGAGCGCGGGAACTACTTTCTGACGGGGCCAATATAATAGGGATGAGCCTAGGGCACCCCAAACCTAGTTTTCTCACCGGTTTTAGGCCACTTAATTTTCACCCCTAGGCCTTTTCAACGAAAAAGAAAACATTTGCAAAAACAGTGCGGTATTCAGTCTCCAGAGTTGGGGGGGGGGGGCAAGCTGCTCTCACTGCCCCCCTCTCCGGTTCCCGCGCCTATGGATTCATAAAACACCAGTTACGGGAGCCTTGGGTAACATCGGACAGTAGGTAATATCGGACAAGCAGTTATCTTCTAAATTCTCCCCCACGTGTACGTACATACATATACGCAAATATTTTATTAGGAAAAAAGGTAGCACTGGACTTCCTTTGTCGCCACTTTCTCTGGCAGATAGTTTGCCGTTACGCTGTCATAATAGTTTTACGATAAACGCCATTTGTCCTTCCATCCATGCAACTTAATTACCTGTTATCGCAGAGATAAAGAAGTTGTAACTGCCAAGTTGTACCTTTTCCACTTACCTGAGCATTTTTGGTATCGATTATGAGCCAACTATCTGTGTTCAATATGTTTGTTGCACCCGTTATGCCGCATTTTGAACGTCCTATGTGTTTGTTATTATTGGACACCCATCCGATATTACCCCCCGCCCCACTGGGGGTCCTGGAATTCCACGCCATTCTGGGGGAGGTGTTTGAGCCCCCCCCCCCCCCCTTTACCCGGCGGCACCCATGGCCATGGTAAACCATGCATAGTCTCAAGTCTGGTTTCAGGTGTTCGGCGTGCACTGAGGAATCTCGTGATTTATATCAGCATATTTATTTGACCAAATCATCAGATGTATAGCAAGATAAATGACAAAAGCAAGCTTAAAAAGCTCGAATACATTTAAGTACGCCTCAAATATACTCGAGATATGAATCTATTGGATATGCTCCTCCCTACGGGGCGAAGAAAAAATTGGCTGAAGAAAACAAAATACTCTAATACATCCAATGTATAGGTACCCGAACTTCCGTCTTTTAACCCGCGCCCGGCTGGGGGTCCTGGATTTCCACGCCCTTCTGGGGGGGGGTTGTTTGAACACCCCCCCCCCTTCTAACTCGGCTCATGGGCCACGTAGCGATACGCGGAAGGCGGCGTTCGAAAGAGCGTCAAAAATAATGAGGAAATCACTACGGTCAATTTTTGGTCAGGTCAAAGGTCAGGTCACCAGAGGTCATTGAAGGCAAAATTTCGCCGATTTCCAGGTCGAATGTCGACAATTTCCAAGAAGCCAACGCATAACTCGGGAACCAATAGAGCTACAGCGCCGTGGAAAAGCGCATTCGATAGCCCTATTAACGCCCTTTCTGAGTAATTTTCTCAGATTTGACCTAACGTCAACGGTTTTGCCTGCAGGGGGCAAAAACTGCAAAAATAGCCGATTTTTTTCGGAAACAGTTTTTCTGCAATAACTTTTGACCCAAGCCTTGTACGAGCTTACTTTTACCGGCATCGTGTTCCTCTCGTCAAGACGCATTGAATGAACTATAACTTGACCTTGAAAGGTCAACTTGAAAATTTGACCTCAGGTCAAGGTCATGACCTGACCGGAAAGGGTCATGTTGCACATCAGTCGATCCGTATCGTCGAGCTGAACACATCTAAGGCGTTTTCATCGCTCTAGCATGCCTCTATCAAAAGTTATTTGCGAAAAACTGTTAGATTCCATTCGTGACCTAAGCCCAGCCAGCAATTCGCTTGGGCTGAACTGTGGCAAACGTCGGGCAGCTTGGGCTTAGCTTGGGTTTGCCCACTTTGATCAAAACCAATGCATTTTTTACTAGGGCTGAGCTGGGGCATGCCGCAGCTATGCCCACGTGCGGATAGCAGTACCTCAGCCCGACATCTGCCCGCGCATCCAAAACAGGCTTAACTTGGGCGGAGCGCGGGCTGATCAAGCTGGCTGTGTCCTTCGGCTAACTGGAGTAAAGCCGGAGCTTAGCCATACTTGTTTGGCTGTTCGCGCATGCGCAGTTCTGCGCCAATCATGTGCAGCGTTTGTGACAGTCTGTGCGCTGTGCGACGAAACGACATACCGGTGTTGGGGCATTTGGTGGTTGATGTTTGGGCGCGTGTGACAGCGCGAAGAAGGGATAGTGCTCACTGCTCTTATCAAGTGGACTGGCATGGAGTTTTACGGTAGGTAAGTGCATTGAATGGTGCGCTTGATCGTATGTAAACGTCATGATTTTGACTGAGTTTCACGCCATCAAACATGAAGCTGAATAGCTGTTCAGCCTGGCGACTTATACCCTCGCTCAGAAAAGCCGCATTCCGTGCCTTTATATCTTTGTGAAATACCAGCACTTCTGAGCCAGGAAAATGAAATACAAAACACAAATAGTAGAAAATGTAAAAACATGACCTTATTTCCTCGATAATTGCCAAAACTAATGCAGTACTGTTTGAAAAAGACCTGTGGTCGAAATATTACATTCTTTCAAATAAAGTACCTATATATTTTTACAGCATTAGTTTTGGCAATTATCGAGGAAGTAAGGTCATGTTTTTACATTTTCTATTATTTATGAACATGTTCCTCGCACAAGCACTAACCTCATTACAAAACGCAAATATTTATCTACTTATCAACGAGCACGCTCATTCTCTGTCCGCGTTGAAAATCGAATGATCATTTTATACGGATCAATGCAACAATAAGTTATTTTTCAAGCAAACATGCAATGTAAATTAAACCAATTAATCTCTTTTTCAGGTACGTACCATTAGAGCAAATGGTTCCAAAACATGGAATAGTTATACAAACCAGGACCGGGTGGACGCCGCAGTCGCCCTCGCCAAGTGGTTTAGCGGTAACTGCCTGCTTATAATTAAGTAGGTACCTATACCTACATATACGGAAACTGCGCCGAAAGCTGGCCGACCACCCTGCAGATGTGTGTGTGGTGTGGAGGAGCCAGACGCCTCCAAAGCTCCCATTCACCAGAGTGAAGTTCCTTATAAACGATTGTTGTTGTTATGTTGTTGCTAATTGCTTTATGTCTTATGAGCGATTACTTGCTGTCCTTACTTTATGCTTTCGGTTGAGTGTTCAACCAAGTATTATGAACGGGGAGGGAGGCTAGCGGGCCTTTGATTGTTTTATAGTTTTGATGGCGCTTTTTCATGACTCATGCCATATTATTGCTGCAGTTTGCAGTCCACTGTTTCATGTATTTGTGTTGTGTTTCATTTGAGTGTCTGTAGTCGTTTGAAATATACATTCAATCAAAGACAACCACTACTTTCCTTTCGCAATGCTCGATGACCGGTTAACAGAGCATATGAGTGACCGTAACAATTTTAAATATGCATTGAAACCGCACAACCTGCTGAAAGTGCATTGGCTGCTCCTTGCTACTTGATCCAGTGTGAAGCAAAAGCAAGAGGAAGTCAAGTCGAGACTTGAGAAAACAGGAGCCGTCACTCGAGCCGAACCCGAGAAAAGCCACAGCAGTTTGCAATGTATAAACCCCATTCACTTCTATGGCTTAAGTCGGGATAGACAGGGCACACAGAGTGGGCTTGCCGGAGTTCAGCCCGCTCGGGCCCAGAGTAATCTCCATTATATAAATGGATTCACTGCTCGGGCTTAAATCGGGCTAACGCCAATCGTCGCTCAACTAGGGCTAAACTACGGCTGTCCGGAGCTCGCAGAGCGGGCATACCTCCGGCGGAGCATGGGCTTTAGTCGGCGTTTTTGTGTCATACGCCGACTTTAGCCCAAGCCCTAGCCGACTTTAGCCCGACTAAAAATCTCGGGCAATCCGCACTTGAGCCTGCTTAGGCCCGGAGCAAAATTGCTGGCTGGGAGATGACCTCAGGGCATAAACAGGGGTCACGGACACCATTTTCATGTTCAGTGTGTCTAAACCACTTGTAATTCAGTGTTTGGGAGTGTTTATAATGTCTTTCGTCCAAAAGAGGCGCATTTCAATTTTCTCCCATTGACTTATAATGGGGAGGTCGCAAAATTGACCTGACCTTAGGTCATCGATATCAAAATTCTAAGATATACATTTTGTACATGCTATTGCTCTTAGCAATTGCTGAAAGTTTCAAAGCGATCGGTCACTCGGTGTAGCTATGACAGACATTGAAACTTTTTATGAGGTGAGGTCACTTCAAGTGACCTGGTGACCTGACCTTGAATGACCTTGGTCTGAAATTTTCACAACATGTGTAGAATTGATGTATGATAAGGTGTACCAAAAACGGCGGCGCTCCGCGCCGCCGTTTTTGAGATATTCGCGAAAAACCACAAGGGGGGGGGGGGTGTTCAAACACCCCCCCCCAGCAGGGCGCGGGTTAATTTAAGTTGTCATTTATCTTCAGACTTGTATGATGATTTGGTCGATTAAATACCGTGTGTTTTTCGCTCACCTTCCGCTGCACCTGTCGCCAGTTCTGGGGAGAGGTGACCTTGTCCCAGAGGGACGCCAGGCGCGGCCATAGCGCGGGACGCGACGCCAGCGCCGCCTATCGGCAACGCTAGAGAACTAAGGTCGGTGAGAGCACGGATTTTGATGGGTGATAGCGCAGTGTGAAAAAAATAGGAAAGTTACATGAAAATGTCGCTATACTACGGTATAGTTCACCATCTGAGCGACATATTTATGTATTTTTATCCATGGCGGATAAAAATTGGACCCGGGATCTGGCCATGGAAGAAAAAAATGTTGGTTAGCGTAAGCACGGATTTTCGTGGAAATAAGCACAGTGTGAGAAAATAGGGAAGTTACATAAAAATGTCGCTATACTACGTTGTAGTTCGCTATCTGAGCAACATATCTATGTATTTGTTATCCATGACGGATAAAAATTGGACCTGGGATCTGGCCATGGAAGAGAAAAATGTTGGTCAGCGTAAGCACGGATTTTCGTGGAAATGAGCACAGTATGAAAAAATAGGGTAGTTACATAAAAATGTCGCTATACTACGCTGTAGATTACCATCTGAGCAACATATTTATGCATTTTTTATCCATAGCGGATAAAAATTGGACCTGGGATCTGGCCATGGAAGAAAAAAATATTGGTCAGTGTATGCACGGATTTTCGTGGAAACTAGCACAGTATGAAAAAATAGGCAGCTTACATAAAAATGTCGCTATACTACGCTGTAGCTCACTAACTGAGCAACACATCTCTGCACTTTTTATCCATAGGAGAGAAAAATTCGACCCGGGATCGGGACATGGAAGAAAAAAATATTTGCACCACCAAATGAAATTAAGATACATCACTCCCGTTATATTTGTATTGAGTCTTTCATGAAACAATTTCGCTATACTACGGCAAACAGCATGACGTCTCGCATATATTGAGACATATTTTGACAATGCAATGTAGGTATAATACAATTTGGAATGTTCATAAACATTTTATCTTCTCCTGCCAAATCCCGGTGCCAATTCTCCCCGAATATTGGTAAAAAATACGTCAGGGTAAACGCATATTACTGAATTTAATTGCATTATATCGCATTTTTCAGTTTATCGTTAAGTCTCCACACAGGGACGTTTTCATCTGAAGTTTGGCCGCCGGAGCCACCGCGAGGCCTAGTTGCACGAGTAGCCGATAGTCGGCGCCACCGTCGCACTCGGCCGCAGCCAGTATACTGCCAAAAATGGAGCTATTATGATATCGCTCGTTGGTAACTAAGTGTGGCGTGCTTCATAAATGATCGCCGCATAGAGAAACAACCGTTTAATGAAGAAAATGACTTGTATTTTACTCATAATAACAATCTGAACCCCAATGTCCGCTTCTATATGGAGTTTGGCGCATAACGTGTCCGAGTCGGGTCGCTCCCAGGCCTGCACCCTCTGCTGGTCCAGACTGACCAGCCGCGGGAAGTACATCAACACCATGGTCCTGCCGAACGCACCGCTGCACGTCAGCCCGACTGCAGGGCCAAAGTTTCTACGCTAGAGCACAGACGTTGAACATGCTGCATTCAGATGTGTCAGCAATACTCGTCCGTAAAAGGCATGATAGGCACGCTGAAATGCGGTTATCGAGACAGCTTATATTTTGTTCCAATGTTTGCCTTAGTAGCATTATGTCTGTGCAAACGTTAAACTAAAAAAGTTCGTATGATCGCAGGCATCAGGTGACAGCATGTCAGCAGTTCATTAAAACTATGACAAGGCATTACCATGCACGAACACTTAGGTAAGGTCACCTTCATATTATGTGCTACTAATCAAGGCAAAGTCAGTCAACTGGGACATGCCACCGCCTGTTATCAGTGTCACCAAGAAACACGTTGAGCGCTAACTAAGGTTACCGAGCTGAACAAAGAACGACCGTGCACAATAATATTTACAAGTCGCGCTGAAATACCGGCATGCCATGGTCAGAAGTTAGGTAATGATGCCACAATAAACTAAACTAATATACCTATAGATATATCACTCTCCGAGAAAGGGCTACGTTTCTCGCCAATCGCAATTCTTCACAGACCCGTCCCGTCAGAGCCAGGCCATGGCCACTTTTTGTCTCATAAAACCGGTTGAGCGATCGCGATGGGTCAGAAGAAGGGTCAAGTGGTACGAACGCTGCGCAGGGGTCACCCGTACCCATGAGGTGCCAGAGCGTGGGTACACAGAAGGCAAAATCACGGAGAAGCCCTGGCGCGGAACGAGGACGACATTGATGCTGGGTCGTAAGAAGGTCGGGTGTGGGACTTCTCCCGTCTCCGGGCTGTGAGCATTTCGGAACCAAGAAATCACGGGCATAGGTATACCTTTTTTAAAAGGACACTCGCTGTCTGCTGTCACAAGCTCTAACGGCACGCTCGTGTCTGGTTGAATGGACAATAGCTAACTCGTTGAACCCGTTGAAGTCACGACCGATGGCATGTGCACGACAGAGAAAAAGCAGCGCGGCACGCGTCAGACTTGCCACGCCACCAGCGAACCTAGCGGCGGAAGGGAAAGGACAGGGAGTCCCTAAAAGGATAGCTGTCACTCAATGTGTTCACGGAAGGTCAGTGCCATAAAGCGATCCAGCGAATTCACTAACGCAGGCACCAACGGGGAGGGACAGCGAATTCCTAAAATAGCTGACCTTCAATGTGTTCACTGTGCATGTGCGTTTGTGTGTGGGGTTGTAGTTAACTTGTCCAATTGTTTCAAAATCAAGACAGCTGCAGACTCAGCAAAATCAAAAGAAATATATTCATTAAAATAATGCTTGAAAACCACACATGTTCGCACAGATATCTCTCGCAGTCTCGCTGAGTCGCACCGCAGCTGCCTCCACCATCGTCGGAATTCGGAATTCGGATCGTCAGTTGCATTCGGAGCACCATGCAACTGAGATACACATATATGCTTGCCGCACAATGCTTGGAAATCACTGACCTGTATCGATGGAGATTGCCGCGTGACGATCCGCGCACCAGCGAAGGCACGCTCGGGTTGCCGATCATACTCAGGTGCCTGAGGTTCGGACAGTTGAACCGCAACGACCGCAGGAACGGCTGTAGATCTGCACGGTCAGAAAATAGACGATTATGTAATATCGATCTGCCGAACACTAAACGATCGGGATCCTGGCGGAATGCAGGTGATGGAAAACGAGAAATGAGGTTCGACTTGAACGAGACAAATAGCCATTGTGTTGTGGTGTTTGGTAGGAAGACGAGGTTCAAAAGTTAAAAGGCATTCGTTTGTATAAATTGTCTTCCCTGACCATTGAATCGGTTTTCAATTTCTTTAACGGTTTGTGTCCGGTACCTCTGTTACACCAAGCCTGCGTTCTATCTATCACGTTCAGCAGAGATCCACATAAAACATAATACGGAAGCAGATACGTAAACCCGAAGTTATCATTCCAAAAATGGCATATAAAGACTTGCCATAATTACATAAGTACGAACTATTAACCCGGCAGTTGCTGGGGTATTTCGCCACCCACCGTTTGCTGGGGGGGGGGGGGGGCGTTAAACGCCCCCAGCCGATAACTCGAGAACCAATAGGCGCAGCGAAACGCACGAGGCGGCAAACGAAAGAGCGCGACGAGACGCTTCAGATGAGTACTTTAAAGTTGAATTTTGAGGTCACAGGTCGGGTCAAGGTCAGGTCAAACACCTGAAATCGGGCTTTCAGTAGCATGGACTTCAGGACTTCGCAATGGGCGCCTCTCGCCATAAACTCTGTCAAAACGGTGCACAATCCATCTTATAAGGCCTACAAGAGTGTCAGCTCCATGTAGGGGTCAGTCAAGCATAGGTCAGGGTCAAGGTCAGGTCAACCGGGTAGGCACATATCCCCGAAAATCAAAACTGATATTCGCAGCCTGTGACACATGTTCTATAGGTAATTTGGGGCGTAGAACACGATGGTGACATTCATTCTATCATATGTGTACGTGTTTGGCTCAAAAAGTTCAATTTAAGAAATTCATGTATCATGGTCGTGAAGTAGTCACGAAAAATTGCCAAGATTCAGTTCAAGATTATGGAAAATGCAGAATGATAATCAATAATCGAAGATAGCCATTTGATTGACCATGGTATTGGCAGTCTAATGGCGTTTACGGCATGTCTGTATGTCTATTCTGTGATTTTATATGATTTTTTGAACATATGCCGTTTTTGGTCGAAAACTCAGAAATCATGACGTCACTAAAACCTCGATATCTCAAAAATTTTCCGACCGATTTTTTTGAAACTTTGTCACAATAAACTTCAATCAATTCCCTACAGGTACCTAAAATTTGGCGCGCCTGCGGCAGCCCTTTTTATGCTATGGCCCGGCGAAAAAAGTGGGGGCGTTTAACGCCCCCCCCCCCAGCAACTCGCGGGTTAACCCGCGCCCGGCTGGGGGTCCTGGATTTCCACGCCCTGCTGGGGGGGGGGGGGTGTTTGAACACCCCCCCCCCCTTGTAACTCGGCTCCTGGGCCACGTAGCGATACGCGAAAGGCGGCGTTCGAAAGAGCGTCAAAAATAATGACGAAATCACTTCGGTCAATTTTTTGGTCAGGTCAAAGGTCAGGTCACCAGAGGTCATTGAAGGCAAAATTTCGCCGATTTCCAGGACGAATGTCGAAAATTGCCAAGAAGCCAACGCATAACTCGGGAACCAACAGAGCTACAGCGCCGCGGAAAAGCGCATTCGATAGCCCTATTAACGCCCTTTCTGACTAATTCTCTCAGATTTGACCTAACGTCAACGGTTTTGCCTGCAGGGGGCAAAAACTGCAAAAATAGCCGATTTTTTCGGAAACAGTTTTTCTGCAATAACTTTTGACCCAAGCCCTGTACGAGCTTACTTTTACCGGCATCGTGTTCCTCTCGTCAAGACGCATCGAATGAGCTATAATTTGACCTTGAAAGGTCAACTTGAAAATTTGACCTCAGGTCAAGGTCATGACCTGACCGGAAAGGGTCATGTTGCATATCAGTCGATCCGTATCGTCGAGCTGAACACATCTAAGGCGTTTTCATCGCTCTAGCATGCCTCTATCAAAAGTTATTTGCAAAAACTGTTAGATACCATTCGTGACCTAAGATGACCTCAGGGCATAAACAAGGGTCACGGACACCATTTTCATGTTTAGTGTGTCTAAGCCACTTGTAATTCGGCGTTTGGGAGTGTTTATAATGTCTTTCGTCCAAAAGAGGCGCATTTCAATTTTCTCCCATTGACTTATAATGGGGAGGTCGCAAAATTGACCTGACCTTAGGTCATCGATATCAAAATTCTGAAATATAAATTTTGTACATGCTATTGCTCTTAGCAATCGCTGAAAGTTTCAAAGCGATCGGTCACTCGGTGTAGCAATGACAGACATTGAAACTTTTTATGAGGTGAGGTCACTTCAAGTGACCTGGTGACCTGACCTTGAATGACCTTGGTCTGAAATTTTCACAACATGTGTAGAATTGATGTATGATAAGGTGTACCAAAAACGGCGGCGCGGAGGCGCCGCCGTTTTTGAGATATTCGCGAAAAACCACAAGGGGGGTGTTCAAACACCCCCCCCCCCCCCAGCAGGGCGCGGGTTAACCCTCGCCCGCACATGCCATTTTCCCATCCTAGAACGCACATGGGGGGGGGGTGGTTGCCACCCCCCCCGCGCCATTTCGTTCCTGTTGGAGATAGAGCTTAGCAGTAAAGACCAAAAAGATTCTTTGGGAAGAGACGAATCCAATGATACCCAGTTTTACCTTCTCAGGTCAGTCATTGACCTTCCAGGTCAGGTCAAACTAAAAAATGTTGCTGTTTTGGGTCACCGTTGGATATCAAGTGCGCTGCTTATCAACTACCGATGACGATGCTGTTTTCTGGTGCCAAGCCAGCTAGAACCTCTTTGTCACACTATCCGACCAGAATTTTGCTGCTGAGGTCATTTCAGGTCAAGTTAGGTCAAGGTCAATTATATGTGTTTGTATGTCTGTGTGTGTCTGTGTGTATACTGATGTGTGCACCGATTGTTTTTGGGTCCATATCACATGAAATCATGATCTGAGAAGCTTTTACCAAAAATGCAGTCAAAAAACTTCACAAAAAGTAAATTCAGCTTGCCTAAAACGCAATTATCTTAGATGACCTAGGTTGACCTTGACCCTGACCTTGACCCCTGTACATCGTCGAACAACATGTTCCATGATAGGTGGGAGGTAAGACTGGCATAAAAGGCCGAAATCAGGGTGTCAAAAGCTCACAAGGCCCATGGCAAACGCAAGATGTTGAGAATTGGCCATTTGGGTCATGACATGACCTGAAAAACAAGGTCATATCTCCGAAACCAAAAATCACAGAAACTTGAAATTTACAGTGGACATCAAGAAAGGATAGACGAGCAGCTATACAAAAAAAATCAGCCTTCTAGCTCTAAAAATGTTGAGTGCAGAGCAGAAAGACTGCCTGGGGGGTGGTGGCAACCACCCCCCCCCCCATGTGCGGGCGAGGGTCAACCCGCGAGTTGCTGGGGGGGGGGCGTTAAACGCCCCCACTTTTTTCGCCAGGCCATAGCATAAAAACGGCGCGCCGCAGGCGCGCCAAATTTTGGGTACCTGTAGGGAATTGATTGAAGTTTATTGTGACAAAGTTTCAAAAAAATCGGTCGGAAAATTTTTGAGATATCGAGGTTTTAGTGACGTCATGATTTTTGAATTTTCGACCAAAAACGGCGTATGTTCAAAAAATCATATAAAATCACAGAATAGACATACAGACATGCCGTAAACGCCATTAGACTGCCAATACCATGCACAATCAAATGGCTATCTTCGATTATTGATTATCGTTCCGCATTTTCCAAAATCTTGAACTGAATCTTGACAATTTCTCGTGACTACTTCACGACTATGATACATGCATTTCTTAAATTAAACTTTGTTAGCCAAACACGTACACATATGATAAAATGAATGTCACCATCGTGTTCTACGCCCCAAATGACCCATAAAACATGTGTCACGGGCTGCGAATATCAGTTTTGATTTTCGGGGATATGTGCCTACCCGGTTGACCTGACCTTGACCCTGACCTATGCTTGACTGACCCCTACATGGAGCTGACACTCTTGTAGGTCTTATACGATGGATTGTGCACCATTTTAACAGAGTTTATGACGAGAGGCGCCCATTGCGAAGTCCTGAAGTCCATGCTACTGAAAGCCCGATTTCAGGTGTTTGACCTGACCTTGACCCGACCTGTGACCTCAAAACTCAACTTTAAAGTACTCATCTGAAGCGTCTCGTCGCGCTCTTTCGTTTGCCGCCTCGTGCGTTTCGCTGCGCCTATTGGTTCTCGAGTTATCGGCTGGGGGCGTTTAACGCCCCCCCCCCCCCCCCCAGCAAACGGTGGGTGGCGAAATACCCCAGCAACTGCCGGGTTAATAGCACTACCCTGTTATTCTTGTAAGTACGTACAGCAGATCGCATATTTTCCTCGAAAGTCAGACTGAAGGACGCCTGCGTTCGTGACAATTCCATCAACCTGCAACCACATGTTACAGAGCCGGGTCAGACTGACCCTTGATCTTGTTGTGGTTGACCCAGAGTGTGGTGAGATGAGGCATCGGCGGCAGCGAGCTGTACGACATCACACGGTTGTGGTCCAATATCAGCGTGGCCAGGCGCTCGAACTGCACCAGAAACTGCAGATTCCTGGGAACACAGGGGTAGAGACATTAGACGGCAGCACGCCGTGTGCTTCTTGGAATTGCACATCCGCTCCGGTATCGGCTGGACTGTAAGTCAATATACCCTGGGCTGGACAGAGCGGTCCATCCACAGTCCACAGGCAGGCCTTTGGTGCCGGCGGCTGCGCCGGCTGTTTCTTTATCTCCAGGCTGTGCATCCGGCCAACGTTCCAAGGCCGAGGAAATTCATGGCGTCGTAACTATTTCTGCGATATATCGTAAGTTACGACACATGTTCCATGTCAGCTGTGCCAGGGCTTGATAGATAATAAATAATGAAGTAAAAAGGAAGATAATGAAAATGAAGAATGATGAAAAAGGGCTTGTCGGAGGATAAGACAGTGCGTAGCTGCGACAAGGCTCGTGTGGCTCATGTAGTCGGTATTTGGTACAATTGCGGAGCTGCAGACCAAAGTTTCCATGGGGTAGCTCGATAGTTGACCTTCGGTGCAGGGCGGTACTGGGTTAAAATAACTCGTATTTCATTATGGCGGTTGACAGACGTATAAAGAGTGCCGCAACATTATACTAAGCCGACACGGCAGAGAACCGAGACAGCGCCATCATACGTCATGACCGCAGGTTGTTTCTTCATTAGACAAACACTATTCGTTAGATAATAACGCTCACGGCGAGATCACATGTGGAACCCCGATTTCAGCCCCTCCGCGACGTGTGCTGCTCCCCACCCTGGGCTCTGGGGCGCGAGCTCCGCCCTCCGTTCACCAGGAATGTCGGCACCGCCGGTTCATTCTAGACCCGCCCCCTAGGGCGCTGTTGGCTGCGCAGATAAGGTAAATTAATTATGACGGTCGCGTTCCCAGCCATGGAGATTGGAGAACCGTCTGAGTTGTCTAAGGCCTGACCCTGTCGGGTATGCCCACCAAAACGACTCTCCTCTCGGTTCTCTTCGCAGGTGTGTTTAAAGACAGAATACCAGCAGTTGTGCGAAGGAGTGCCTTGCCATTGCTTGACGTACCCGGCGCCTATGCTGTAAATAACGTACTCGGAAGAGAGAAGAGGAGAGTGATGTGGAGGGGAGGGCAAACGGCACGCCAGCCACGTCGTCATCGCACAAAAAAGTTCAACTGCGCAAAGATATGAGAAAAACCAACCGGAGATTAGGGAAGGCATCGGATGACGTTAAATTTTCCTCACAACCTGACAGAGTCAGCTCATGAGGCAGGTCGTAGGGAGCAACGACCCCACGGGAACGTCAATCTCTGATGAGGCTGTTGATAACGTCAAACGGCCGCGGCGGTGCATCCAAACGACTTCTCGCGAAGGTTCTCTCCCAACAGGCACGTCATAAACAGGTGGGTGCTGGGATTCCGTCCCTTCCACCTTAGGCGGAATGGCAGTTCAAAACATGCCCCAGGGCTGGACTACATTGAACTTCCCATCACGTGCCGATGTCCGTGAAGTTAGCGTCAGCAACAGCAACGAATACAGCGTCGGATTCAGAATCGCTTTAAAACATGCTATCAGGTCAATTGGGGGACGGGGAACACGAATATGACATTTATTTTGCCCTAGCTCCCTTCCTTCATCCCTTAATCGTCCCTTAAAGGACGGGGCGCGTCAAAAGTGCCCCAAGGCTTCGTCTGATCGCCAAAATAATGGTCGCAATCGATTCCTCGGGTCAATATCTAACCTCAGTCGAAGGTTCCAGACCTGTGGCTCCTATCCCTCATCCCTTAATCGTCCCTTAAAGGACGGGGCGCGTCAAAAATGCCCCAAGGCTTCGTCTGATCGCCAAAATAATGGTCGCAATCGATTCCTCGGGTCAATATCTAACCTCAGTCGAAGGTTCCAGACCTGTGGCTCCTATCCCTCATCCCTTAACCGTCCCTTAAAGGACGGGGCGCGTCAAAAGTGCCCCAAGGCTTCGTCTGATCGCCAAAATAATGGTCGCAATCGATTCCTCGGGTCAATATCTAACCTCAGTTGAAGGTTCAAGACCTGTGGCTCCTATCCCTCATCCCTTAATCGTCCCTTAAAGAACGGGGCGCGTCAAAAGTGCCCCAAGGCTTCGTCTGATCGCCAAAATAATGGTCGCAATCGATTCCTCGGGTCAATATCGAACGTCAGTCGAAGGTTCCAGACCTGTGGCTCCTATCCCTCATCCCTTAATCGTCCCTTAAAGGACGGGGCGCGTCAAAAGTGCCCCAAGGCTTCGTCTGATCGCCAAAATAATGGTCGCAATCGATTTCTCGGGTCAATATCTAACCTCAGTCGAAGGTTCCAGACCTGTGGCTCCTATCCCTCATCCCTTAATCATCCCTTAAAGGACGGGGCGCGTCAAAAGTGCCCCAAGGCTTCGTCTGATCGCCAAAATAATGGTCGCAATCGATTCCTCGGGTCAATATCTAACCTCAGTCGAAGGTTCCAGACCTGTGGCTCTTATCCCTCATCCCTTAATCGTTCCCTAAAGGACGGGGCGCGTCAAAAGTGCCCCAAGGCTTCGTCTGATCGCCAAAATAATGGTCGCAATCGATTCCTCGGGTCAATATCGAACGTCAGTCGAAGGTTCCAGACCTGTGGCTCCTATCCCTCATCCCTTAATCGTCCCTTAAAGGACGGGGCGCGTCAAAAGTGCCCCAAGGCTTCGTCTGATCGCCAAAATAATGGTCGCAATCGATTTCTCGGGTCAATATCTAACCTCAGTCGAAGGTTCCAGACCTGTGGCTCCTATCCCTCATCCCTTAATCATCCCTTAAAGGACGGGGCGCGTCAAAAGTGCCCCAAGGCTTCGTCTGATCGCCAAAATAATGGTCGCAATCGATTCCTCGGGTCAATATCTAACCTCAGTCGAAGGTTCCAGACCTGTGGCTCTTATCCCTCATCCCTTAATCGTTCCCTAAAGGACGGGGCGCGTCAAAAGTGCCCCAAAGCTTCGTCTGATCGCCAAAATAATGGTCGCAATCGATTCCTCGGGTCAATATCTAACCTCAGTCGAAGGTTCCAGACCTGTGGCTCCTATCCCTCATCCCTTAATCGTCCCTTAAAGGACGGGGCGCGTCAAAAGTGCCCCAAGGCTTCGTCTGATCGCCAAAATAATGGTCGCAATCGATTTCTCGGGTCAATATCTAACCTCAGTCGAAGGTTCCAGACCTGTGGCTCCTATCCCTCATCCCTTAATCATCCCTTAAAGGACGGGGCGCGTCAAAAGTGCCCCAAGACTTCGTCTGATCGCCAAAATAATGGTCGCAATCGATTCCTCGGGTCAATATCTAACCTCAGTCGAAGGTTCCAGACCTGTGGCTCTTATCCCTCATCCCTTAATCGTTCCCTAAAGGACGGGGCGCGTCAAAAGTGCCCCAAGGCTTCGTCTGATCGCCAAAATAATGGTCGCAATCGATTCCTCGGGTCAATATCGAACGTCAGTCGAAGGTTCCAGACCTGTGGCTCCTATCCCTCATCCCTTAATCGTCCCTTAAAGGACGGGGCGCGTCAAAAGTGCCCCAAGGCTTCGTCTGATCGCCAAAATAATGGTCGCAATCGATTTCTAGGGTCAATATCTAACCTCAGTCGAAGGTTCCAGACCTGTGGCTCCTATCCCTCATCCCTTAATCATCCCTTAAAGGACGGGGCGCGTCAAAAGTGCCCCAAGGCTTCGTCTGATCGCCAAAATAATGGTCGCAATCGATTCCTCGGGTCAATATCTAACCTCAGTCGAAGGTTCCAGACCTGTGGCTCCTATCTCTCATCCCTTAATCGTCCCTTAAAGGACAGGGCGCGTCAAAAGTGCCCCAAGGCTTCGTCTGATCGCCAAAATAATGGTCGCAATCGATTCCTCGGGTCAATATCTAACCTCAGTCGAAAAATCCTGACCTGTGGCTCCTATCATTCATCCCTTAATCGTCCCTTAAAGGACGGGGCGCGTCAAAAGTGCCCCAAGGCTTCGTCTGATCGCCAAAACAATGGTCGCAATCGATTCCTCGGATCAATATCTATCCTCAGTCGAAGGTGTCAGACCTGTGGCTCCTATCCCTCATCCCTTAATCGTCCCTTAAAGGACGGGGCGCGTCAAAAGTGCCCCAAGGCTTCGTCTGATCGCCAAAATAATGGTCGCAAACGATTCCTCGGGTCAATATCTAACCTCAGTCGAAGGTTCCAGACCTGTGGCTCCTATCCCTCATCCCTTAATCGATTGCGAGGAATCGATTGCGACCATTATTTTGGCGATCAGACGAAGCCTTGGGGCACTTTTAACGCGCCCCGTCCTTTAAGGGACGATTAAGGGATGAGGGATAGGAGCCACAGGTCAGGATTTTTCGACTGAGGTTAGATATTGACCCGAGGAATCGATTGCGACCATTATTTTGGCGACCAGACGAAGCCTAGGGGCACTTTTGACGCGCCCCGTCCTTTCAGGGACGATTAAGGGATGAAGGATGGGAGCTACAGGTCTGGAACCTTCGACTGAAGTTTGATATTGACCCAAGGAATCGATTGCGACCCTTATTTTGGCGATCAGACGAAGCCTTGGGGCACTTTTGACGCGCCCCGTCCTTTAAGGGACGATTAAGGGATGAGGGATAGGAGCCACAGGTCTGGAACCCTCGACTGAGGTTAGATATTGACCCGAGGAAGCGACTGCGACCCTTATTTTGGCGATCAGACGAAGCCTTGGGGCACTTTTGACGCGCCCCGTCCTTTAAGGGACAATTAAGGGATGAGGGATAGGAGCCACAGGTCTGGAACCTTTGACTGAGGTTAGATATTGACCCAAGGAAACGATTGCGTTCCTTATTTTGGCAATCAGACGAAGCCTTGGGGCACTTTTGACGCGCCCCGTCCTTTAAGGGACGATTAAGGGATGAGGGATAGGAGCCACAGGTCTGGAACCTTCGACTGAGGTTAGATATTGACCCGAGGAATCGATTGCGACCATTATTTTGGCGATCAGACGAAGCCTTGGGGCACTTTTGACGCGCCCCGTCCTTTAAGGGACGATTAAGG